GCTTCGAAGTTACCCTCTTTTAGATTGCACGAGCTGTCCTGTAGTGATGAGATCATTTGTGTGCACCTGCAGTCTTACAATTTCAGTTGGACTATCCACAATGGATGGGTGTGTGTGTGCGTGTGTGCGTGTGTGTGTGTGCGTGTGTGTGTGTGTGTGCGTGTGCGTGCGCTTTCTGTGTTTGCTCTCCACCTCCCTTGTCCTTAAAGGCTCTGTCTGTATGACTGATTCCACTGACTCTTTTGGCCAAGCACTGCTCTGTAGGCAGGTGTCTTTAAATTTAGCAAGGCAAAACGACCTTTTTCCTTTACTCTCAAGACTGCTGTGAGAATCTGGGCTGGGATTAGCTGTGGGTTTCTTCATAATTATAGCCTCCTTTTTAGCAAAGCCAGTATATTAAAGTAGACTTACCAACTTGCTTAGGGGTTGAAATTTTGCTTTTCATACTGATTATCTTTAGAGTTCTTTTAAATAGCTAGTTCTCCAGTTTCATTAAAATAGAATTTGATTCCCAGAATTTGCCTTCTGGGATCCCAGGTCCTTAGTAAGGTAGAGTGCAACCTATAATCACTTTCTAGTTTCTCTGTGTATCAGAGGCAGAGATTACTCATTGCAAATTGAAGCCCTATTTCACATGGAAGAGGGAGGAGATGAATGTTTTCCTCTTTTCCCCTTATGGCTACTAAAAGCTAAGCAGAGACTATGGTTCCAAATAGCTGAAAAGATACATTGTAACATCTTTGTAAATAAATTTAGTGACCTATGGCAGGCAGGGTAAGAGAAAAATCAAACTTGATGCAATTGAAGAACTTCATTGTTATAGGGTTTTTTTGTTTTGTTTTGTTGGTTTTGGCTTTTTTTGGTTGTGGGGCTTGAACTCTGGGCCTGGGTGCTATCTCTCAGCACTTCAGCTCAAGGCAAGCACTCTACCACTTGAACCACAGCGCCACTTCTGGTTTTCTAGTGGTTTATTGGAGATAAGAATCTCACAGACTTTACTGCCCAGGCTGGCTTTAAACCATGATCCTTAAGTCTCAGCCTCCTGAGTAGGTAGGATTATAGGTGTGAGCTACCTGTGCCTGGTTTGTTACAATCTTCTAATTAATACATAGTAATTGCACATATTTATAGGGTATAATGTGATAATTATACTGTGTAGAATGTGCAGTAAGTTATCTTTAAATATTTATCATTTTCATATTATGAGCTTTAAAATCTTTTAATATTCTGTACCAAATTGCTGTGAACAGTAATTACCCTGCTGCACTGTAAAGCATTAGAACTTTCTATTAGAACTATATTCTGTTACCTGTTACATACATTCCTTCCTCTCCGTCCAGCTTGCATCCTGTTTTAAGTATCATCTGCTTTCAGAACTTTTTCTTTTTTTGTGCCAGTCCTAGGGCTTCAACTCAGGGCCTGAGCTCTGTCCCTGAGCCTTTGTGTGCTCAAGACTAGTGCTCTACAAGTTGAGCCCCACAGTGCCACTTCCAGCTTTTTCTGTTTATGTAGTACTGAGGAATCAAACCCAGGGCTTCATGCATGGTAGGCAAATACTCTACCACTAAGCCACATTTCCAACCCTTTCAAAACATTTTGAGCAAGGGGATGGATCAGTATCTCTCACTTTCATAGTAAATGGGATAGTTGGATGTTTAATTGACACTTCTCAGGAGTTTGGGCTGAATTTGTTTTGAAGTAGTTTAACTTAGGTTATGTAAAAGGCTTTTACTGTTTAGCTGTAAGTAATTGTCATTCTACTATCACATTTTCTTCTCTAGAATGACAGGCATTCAGATTACCTGAAGATGTCTGCTAATTATAAACTGTTCCCCAGAAGTGGAGCCTTTTCATTCCAGACTAGTAGTCTATCACTTTGAGCCACAGCACCACTTCCGGTTTTCTGGTGGTTTATTGGAGAGAAGAGTCTGACAGACTTTCTTGCTTGGGCTGGTTTTGAACCATGATACTCAAATCTCAGCCTCCTGAGTAGCTAGGATGACAGGCGTGAGCCACCAGTGCCCAGCTATGAATCTATGAATGCTCACTTCATATGCTAACCTTCAGTTATAGTTAGCTCCCTATAAATGGTGAGAAATAAACTTCACTTTTTTTTTGGTTGGTCATAGGACTTGAACTCAGAGCCAGGGCCCTATTCCTGAGCTTTTTCACTCAAGACTAGCACTCTACCACTTTTAGACCCAGCGTGGCTTCCAGTTTTCTGATGGCTAATTGTATGTCTCATGGACATACCCAGACTGGCTTTGTACTGTGATCCTCAGATCTCAGCCTCCTAAGTAGCTAGGATTATGGGTGTAAGCCACCATCACCTTGTTAGCTACACTCAATTTCTATTAACTCCAAGCAGTCCTGAACTGGTTTACCAAAACCTTTCAGTTTGCTTATTCTTCCTTTGAGCTTTTATTCAGAAGATAGATTTGTTTCAAACTATGTAAAAATTTTAGTAAGAGAGTTCAGTTCTGGAATAGTTTTTTTTTTGGGGGGGGTCTGCTCATGGGGCCTGAACTCTGGGCCTGGGCGCTGTCCCTCAGCTCTTCAGCTCAAGGCTAGCGCTCTACCACTTGAGCCACAGCGCCACTTCTGGCTTTTTTCTTTTTGCTTATGTGGTACTGAGGAATCGAACCCAGGGCCTCGAGCATGCAAGGCAAGCACTCTACCACTGAGCCACCTTCCCAGTCCCTGGCTTTTTTCTTTTTGCTTATGTTGTGCTGAGGAATCGAACCCAGTGCCTCTTGCATGCAAGGCAAGCGCTCTACCACTGAGCCACCTTCCCAGCCCCTGGAATAGTTTTTGTTAGAGAATTATATATGGATTATTTATTTATTTATTGCCAGTCACAGGGCCTGAACTCTGGGCTTGGGCGCTGCCCCTTGGCTCTTCAGCTCAAGGCGAGTGCTCTACCACTTGAGCCACAAAGCCACTTCCAGCTTTTTCTGCTTAGTGGTGCTGGGGAATGGAACCCAGGGCCTCATATATGCAAGGCAAGCACTCTACCACTGAGCCACCTTCCCAGCCCCATTGATATTTATTTTGTGATAATGGAGAAATTTAAGGATGACCTGCTTGTTGGTGTGTTTAATGGCAGTGTTTATTGTGAAATAGTGACTCTTTTTTCCCCTTTTATTATAAAAAAAATAATTAAACATACAGAAGAATGGGAAGAATTTCTCAGTGAATCTGCAAGTTAAGATTTTGCTATATTTATCACAGAACTCATCTAACCATGTTTTTGCCTTGGGATGGAGGCTCCCCTAAAAAGAAATAATCTCTATAGCTAATGGCAAAGTGAGGCGAAAGAGGGTAAGAGAGGGGAGAGCGAGAAGGGGCTGTGCAGAGTTCCTGATACAGAATACACAGTGGAGCCTGAGGGCTCGAATGAGAAGGAGCAAATAACCTGGATGTAGGACTTGCTTCTGCTTCTACACTAGGAGGACCGTTCCCAACTGCGTTCCTGCCCTTACAGGTTCGCTGTTGGGTCAGGAAGTAAGACCAAATAAGGTAAACTTCTTTACTAGGCAAGCCATATAGGCCATTTAAAGCCTTTGGTGAAGATTCATAGCGTGATTGGTGTGGTTAAGGAAGTTCAGAAGAGGAAATAGGATTCCTGATGTCTAGAGCAGTTGAAGAACTGGAGTTGGAACTGGACCATTGCTAGGGCCGAGGCCGACCCTGACAACAGACATGACCATAGGGACCATTGGGGCCTGCACCTGAGACTCTGCATGCTTATGGAGAGCAACTGTGTGTGTGTGTGTGTGTGTGTGTGTGTGTGTGTGTGTGTGTGTGTGTGTGCATGCATGTGCGCACATGTGTGGTAAAGAGCCAACTTAGTATTATCCTCACCTTGGGTCCTCAGCTTCATCCACGCCTGGGCCCCCTTGCATTCCTGGAGTTCCCTCCATACAGCTGGCCCCTCCCTCTCTCCGCCCAGACCCACCTGAGCTCCCATCTACCTCACTGCCTATCCTCCAGACCCTGCTGCTACCTGGATGATGACGGAGGCCACATGCCTCCCCCTTGGGGGAAATATGGCTCCTCTAATAAACCTTATAATAATCTTTCTCCTGAAACTACCTACCTCTGCGTGGTCCCCTGGGATGGATGTGTCCGATCCTCTTTCACCTATTTTTTTATTGTTATTATGAAGATGGTATACAGAGGACTTAAAGTCTCATAAGTCAGGTAAAGACTTTTTTTTTTCTTTTTTTGATGGTGGTGGGGCTTGAGCTCTGGGCTTGGGCGCTATCCCTGAGCTCTTCAGTTCGTGAGCACTCTACCACTTGAGCCACAGTGCCACCTCCAGCTTTTTCTGTGTATGTAGTACTGAGGAATCGAACCCAGGGCTTCATGCATGTTAGGCAAGCACTCTACCACTGAGCCACACTCCCAGCCCAAGAGTACATTTCTTTTTAGACAATTTCACTCTTCCCTAGCTTCTCTTAGAACCTATTTCTTATACTCTTGAGTCCTCTCAGTTATTCCCCTTCCAGAACTCCACCCTTGATACTCAGATTCTGCACAAACCACAGTCCTCCAAGAAAAATATGTGGGCTCCTTCCTTCCTTCTGGCTTTTGCTCATTGAGAACATCCCTGATAACCTCTGTCTAAAATAGCAGCTCTTCCCCACACTAACCTCTCTCTCACACACTGTATGTGTTTCTCTTTTTCCTGTCCAGCCTAAAATAGTGTGTGTGATTGTAAATGCATATACCTGTATGGCTAAATGTGTACATAGATAGGGTCCAGGGAGATGATGTTCAGAAGCAGGAAGAACTGAACAAATATTTGAGAATTCTTAGGTGTATGTCTCAAAGGAGCATGCTTATAGAAGTGGATACTTGGATACAGTTAACTTGCTTTGTGTATATAAAAAAAAATCCCCAGGAAATTCATCATAAGTATCTTTTTCCTTTGAAAGATTTGGGTTTCTAAGTGAAACCTTGGCGATTCCAATGCCTCTTGTCCTCCATCTGAGACCCCTGCAGTGGACCATGAGTCGGTAATGCCCAGTGAAGACTTCTGGGAGCCATGTCAGACGAATCTGCCTCAGGGAGCGATCCAGACCTGGACCCGGACGTGGAGCTGGAGGATGCGGAAGAGGAGGAGGAGGAGGAGGAGGTGGCAGAGGAGGAACATGACAGGGATGACGAGGAAGACCTGCTGGATGGTGAGTATCTCTACCAAGTGACAGAGGTGACCTTACCTTTTCTTCCCATGGAACTTCAAGAGTGTGGTGTTGGGTTTCCTAGATCATCCATAGTGAGAAGACGCTGAGTAAGAACTTAACGACATTGAACTCATTATATGCTCATTTCTAAGAAGTGGATGACTGTTGACACAAACCTTGTTTCAGTGTTGGGAGGGTCTTTATTATTTAGCTCATCCTTGACAGCTTTACAGATTCAGTCCAGTGGTTTAAAAGTGGTGTCACACAAATAAATTGTGTGTGTGTGTGTGTGTGTGTGTGTGTGTGTGTGTGTGTGTAGATATATATCTATATATCTACATATCCGGGTGCCGGTGGCTCATACCTGTAATCCTAACTACTCAGGAAGCTAAGATCTGAGGATCACGGTTCAAAGCCAGCCTGGGCAGGAAAGTCCATGAGACTCTTATCTCCAAAAAGCCAGAAGTGGTGCTATGGCTCAAGTGGTAGGGCGCTCAACTTGAGCTGAAGAGCTGAGGGACAATGCCCAGACCCGGAGTTCAAGATCCATGACCAAGAAAAAGTAAAATAATACAAATAAAAGTGCTGTTGACATTCCCAGATCAAGGAGGAGTCAAGGCTAAGAATACAGCCTGGAGTATGGACCCTCCAGGTAGGTATAAGGGTGACTGAGTGGCCTGTGAGTCTTCTAAAATTGTACTTATAATCCTGGGCAGAGATTTTGTTTTTTTGAGAGGTTTATAGCCCCAGAGAGAGCTAAATATCTTCAGTGCTGCCCTGCTTCCTGGCCAGTTGTGGTGATGGTTAAACTGCCCCTACGGGGCAGGGCCTGCCGCTCCAAAGCTAGAAGGCATCCTCTAGATGCCCCTTATGTAGTTTGCTCAACTTATGCCTTCCTTTGACAGATTTTTGTCCCCATCCTCTTCCTTTCATTCACTAGATAGCACTGGGATTTGAATTCAGAAACCTGTGCTTGCTAAGCAAGTGATCTACCAACCCAGACTGTTGTACCCTAGCCCCTTTTTAGCTTTCAGTTTATTTTTTCAGATAGGGTCGCATGTTTTTCCTAGGACCAGCTTGGGATGGTAATCCTTTACCTCCTATGTACCTAGGATTATAGGCATACAATACCATGGCAGACATTTTTTTTTTCTTGGTGCCAGTACTAGGGTTTGAACTCAGGGCCACATGATCTCTCAGCATCTCAGCTTTTTTGCGCAAGGCTGGTGCTCTACTACTTGAGACACACCTCCAGTTCCAATTCCTACTTCTTTGTTTTTGTTTGCTTTGTCATTTGTGGGGCTTGGACTCAGGTCATGGGCACTATCCCTGAGCTTTTTTCACTCAAGGCTAGTGCACTACCACTTTGAGCCACAGCTCCACTTCCAGTTTTTCTGGTGGTTAATTGGAGATAAGAGTCCTACTGACTTTTCTGCCTAGACTGGCTTTGAACTGTGATCTTTAGATCTCAGCCTCCTGAGTAGTTAGGATTACAGACGTGAGCTAACAGTGCCCAGCTTTTACTTCTTGAAGTGGTATTTAACCTTTTATTTTAATCTTCAGTATAATATTAGGTTATCTGATATCTGAGAAGCCGTCGGTGCTTCTCAATTCTGGCTTTTCATGGCATAGGATCCAGTTGTTTTCAATGCTGAGTAAGGAATGGGATTTTATTCGTAACACCACTGACCCCATTGCATTGGACCTTGACCATTAGCACTTGATCTGAAGAAGCCTAGTGTGTATGTGTTGTAGTAATCCAGCGTTTTTTTTCATTCCTTACTAACCCCCACTTCAATCCTGAATCTCTGGCCTTTAGAATGTTGTCTGCCTGGTCCTGACCACAGCAGAAAAATATTCCTACCCCAGTGATCTTTGAGCATCTGTAAACCACGACTGTGTGTGGTTCTGACCTATACAAACTGCCCCACTGTAGGTCAGGGCTGCTCTCGGTCCTCCCAGGGCAAGGCAGTCACGGCCAGCCAAATCTCCTTGTCACCTTCATGCCTCCATGGATTTTCTCACCTCCAAGGTCATTACATTGGTTCCCTGACCATGAAACTCCCTTTGGATGGAACCGGACCTTGGCCAGAAATTCCCTTGTTAGGTGAGTGCCTCGACCCTCAGGGAAAGGCTGCTGAGAGATGTTCTTCAGTCCTGACGTTCCCCAAGTCTCCCCTTGAGCATCTGTTTCCTGAGACAGGAGTGTATTGGCAGGGGCTTCCTTGAGAAGCCATATGGGACTTTTTTTCTTTCTGTCATTTGTAGAGATTGGACTCAGGGCATGAGCAGCACTGTCCCTTAGTTTTCTCACTCAAGGCTAGTGTCCTATCTCTTTGAGCCACAGTTCCACTTCCCAGTTTTCTGGTGGTTCGTTGGAAATAAGAGTCTCACAGACTTTCCTGCCTGGGCTGGCTTTGAACCGTGATCCTCAGACCCAAGCCTCCTGAGTATCTAGGATTCGAGGCGTGAACCACCAGCACCTGGCCATCTGGGACTTCTTTGGGAAGTCAGGTGGGTTAAGCGTTTGTGGCCACTTGTCTGTCTTACCTGTCTTTTGGTGTTTGCCTCTTGTTCTTTTTGCCTAATTTTTACCAACATGGGTCAGACATCTGGGTTCCTTACAGCCACTGGTGGATGGCCTCAGCGGGCTGGCTGCTGGGTGGACAACCCCCCCCCCCCCCCCACACACACACAGGGGAGGCGCCCTGAGGTGTTTCAGTAAGTGCCCCGTGGTCTTTCCGCCACTTTGACAGCCTGCTCGTGGATGCTGAGCATGCCATGAATCTTTATAGAGTTACTCAGAAATCTTCCAGAAGTAAGTCTCTGTCTTGTCTTCGGTCCACGTGTTTTCTGTATTCTAGGGATCAATCCATCTGAAACAGAAATCTGTTCTGTAGGGCCGGCATCTCGTAGGCCGTGGGGTGAGAGACTGCCCAGCATTTGGTGGGCTGAGGTAGGGTTAGAAACTGCCAGGCATAGGCAGTAGGGAGATTGGCTTGCCGAGTGGGAGTGGCAGGCCCGCTCATCAGACTTAAGAGATGAACTGGGGACCCACTAGGCCCTAACTCACCCTTTGGTTTTTGTCTTGTTCTGTTTCTAAAATTGGTACCAGTTTTAAATGTGGATTCTTGCTTTCTGTAGTTTCTGTTGTCTATTTGGACATCTCTGGAGGAATAAAATGTTCCAGCCTCTAGTTGGGCGCAGTATGTCCCCCTCCCTTTGTGGCAGCAGTCAAGAGGTGGGGCATGGATGGTTGCAGGCCTGGTTCCGTCCTCTAGCAATCCAGCAAAAGAGACTGCTGCTGTAAGCTTGGTCCGGACATTTGCCTGATCCTGGCAACGTAAAATAGTTGTAAAGCGCTCTTGTCTAAAATTGGATAAAATATAAAGTCAGACCAGATTAGTTCCGGGTGACCCCTACTCAGCCTTCCTCCAACTGAACACATTCAAAAGGCCAATTGTTAAAACGCCTTATTAAACAAACAGGTCTTGGAGAAATAAGGCCCAGCTAAAGTTCATTGTTATGCTAATGCTTGGAGAAATGAAGCCCAGCTAAAGTTTTAGTTAAAAAGTTTTGTCTTTTTCATTTTTGTGAGCTTTAAGATCTTTGTGCACAACTGTGTTTATATGAGTCTGTATATGTGTGTGAACGTGTTCAAAAAACTCTCAGCATGCTACAAAAAAAAAAGTGAAAAAGGTAAATGTATGAGTTTAAACTCCAAAAAGAAAATCAGGTTTGGGCATTTGAAAGCTCTTTTAAGGATCCTCTAAGTTTAAATCAAGAAAATCTGGTATTTTAATGCATAAAGCTGTATAATCAAGTTATCTGGCCTAGCAAAAAGGCATTGAAACTTGGAATTCATTTCCTTCCTGCTAAGTGAGGAATAAGGAGGGGATAAGTGTTAGAAATTTAAATGTAAAGGTTTGTTTATCACTGCCAAAGACTTTGTTCTGTCTAGAAAACTGCTTCGGTTTCTCAGTAAAAAGGATAGGAGCCAAGTGCCAGTGGCTCACGCCTGTAATCCTAGCTACTAAAGAGGCTGAGATTTGAGGATCTCGGGTGAAAGCCAGCCTGGGCAGAAAAGTCTGTGAGACTCTTATCCCCAATAAACCATGCAGAAAACCAGAAGTGGCGCTGTGGCTCAATTGGTAGAGTGCTTGCCTGGAGCTGAAGAGCTGAGGGACAGTGCCCAGGCCCAGAGTTCAAGTCCCACGACTGACCAGAAAAAAAAAAAAAGACAGGAAAACAGGCTAGTGGGCCTGTCTTTGGGGGTAAGGAGATGCAGCTCAGCCAGTCCACGCATGATGGCACAGGGCCTGGGGGAGTCTGTGCATGGTGGAAGAGGGTAAGCTGGCACAAAGGCAGTTCGTCTAACCTTTAGGAATGGGATGGGTATATGCCCGTTTCATAGGAAGGGCTGGGTGTCTACCTGCATCCTATTTTCCCTGCCTATGGACGTTCATTGGATTGGTATTTCTAAACCTGCCCCCTTGGGATATAAAGGAAGGTTTAAAAAGGTTTATCTGTGTACTGTAAGTTGGTTTCAATGCCATTGTCATTGATACAGTTTAGAAAAAGCAAAAAGATGTTCTGAGATTCCGTTTTTTGTTTTGTTTTTGTCAGTTGTGGGGCCTGAACTCTGGGCCTGGGTGCCGACCCTGAGCTCTTCAGCTCAAGGCGAGCACTCTACTACTTCAGCCACAGCACCACTTCTGGCCTTTTCTGATTATGTGGTACTGAGGAATGGAACCCAGGGCCTCATGCATGCAAGACAAGCACTCTACCACGGAGCCACCTTCCCAGCCCTTGTAATTCTTGCATTAAGAAAAAGCACAGCCAGGCATCAGTAGCTCACATCTGTAATCCTAGCTACTCAGGTGGCTGAGATCTGAAGATCACAGCTCAAAGCCAGCCTGGGCAGGAAATTCCGTGAGACTCTTATCTCCAATTAACCACCAGAAAACCTGAAGTGGTACTGTGGCTCAAGTGGTAGAACA